CCCCAAAACCCCAAAACCCCCTTGACTAAAATTTTTTTTAAATAAATAATTTATTTGTATATAATTCAAATAGATAATCATAAAATCAGATCAAATCAAAATAATATCTATCACTCAAATGGGTTTTATATCATTTTTCTTCTCTTAGCATTAGGACTTAAATCAATATTCTCATACTTGTTCTAATTATTAAACATGTCTTGCATCTGTACATCAGCCATGCAAAACATTGTAAGAACCTCCATTTACTCTTTATTCCCGTGGAATATTGCCTGCTTAAAATCATCTATAGGAATTTCCTCATCTAAATTCCGGCCTAAGAGCTTAAAAATATACTTAGCATAGAATTCTGCTGTATCATCTCTAAATTAATCATACTTGTTCTCATCTTCTAATACTTTTATCTTTGACATTGATAATTGGCATATTCCTTTGATTTCATCAAAGCTGAACATCCCATTCCCATCACTATCAACTATCTAAAAGAATAACTCAATCTTGTCCTTGAGATCAGAGGAACTTATAAGTTTTAAGGCTGAAAAGAATTCATCCCAATTTAGGTAGCCTTTCTTTTCCCTGTCCACAGATGTGAATATTTTTTCCAAGAAATCAGTATTATCCAATGACAGCTATTTTAAGCCATTCATAAATATAGATCTCTCTACTCCCACATCTTTCATTTTGTCAGGAAAAGTAGTTAGAGATATTTTTGATAGAGCCTTGAATTTAGTGTAAACGTTATACAATTCCTTTCTGCTGAACGAGCATTCAAGCTAAATTTTAGGAATATTCATTCCAACAAGATGAGAGAATTTTCCATCCACAGACTTAACTGGATGATTCTCCTGTACCATCTTTATATTTTTATCTATAAATGTGGTATTCTGTCTTTTCTGTGAGCTACCTCGATGACTCTGCAGAATTCTGTGTCTCTTGAAATCTTGCTTTCCTTTCATGTAGTCTTAAACTTCCTTTTTAGTGATTCTAGTCTTTGTCATTGAAGGGTACCTTAATGCAATTTTATTAAGGGTAGAGTTCATTGAGTTTTGAGTCTCAAATTCATATTCCTAAGTGTGAATTACCTGTGAGTCTTGATTAATCTAATCTAAGTTTAAATCTTCGTCAGTTGGAATGTAATGAAAAGTATTATTTCTTTATGAGCCTCTGCTCTTACCAATAAAACTTACTCTATTCTAGACATTTGCAAATCTAGTATTGTTTAGAGTTGATGCTGGCATAGATTTCTAGTTATTAAAAGTTAATTAAGAGAACTATTTCTCTAATATGTCTTCCTTCAGTTTTTATCCTAGAAGATCAGCCATTTATTTCTTTTGATCTTTTGATATAGATTTTCTCAGTTATAAAATAGAGTCATTTTATCCGCTATTTGAGTCTGATCTGCCTCTATTTTTCACAAATGACTTGGATTGTTCAATAAGTTTTTACTTGATTTGCTTATTCAACTTTTACTACAGCTACTTAGCAATTTTCTACTCATCAAAAATTTTTTAAATGACCTCAGCATATTTCTCTAGCTTGGTTTTGGTTATTCTTCTTTGGTCAGGTGACTCGTCCTATTATTCATTTATTCTATCTTTCTATCTCTCAATAGCATTCAATTTTATCTTCTAAGCAAGGTCGAATTAGTTGTTTAACGCACTCAATTTTTCCATTTATGAAGGTCGTCTGAGTCTACTGCTACTGGATTTGCTCAAATTTGATGATCGCAATGATTCCTTAGATTCTTAAATCTTTAAATGGTTCTCTGAACTTTATTTTGTATAGGTATTTTCTTTAAACTCCACATTTCTAGTTTTATTAATGTTAGTATCAATCTATAAGCTGTTGTTTTTATCAATAGAAATGAGAAGACTCTTGCTTTACTCTTGATTGATTATCTCCTGATAATTTGTTTCCAGTCTATTGACTAGCCCTTTAGATGTATAAGTTCTCCTACCAACTGGTGAAATTTTCTCACTATCATCATTTATCTCTTCAATAGATATTTCCCTTATCCTTTGTCTCGCCTTTTCAATTCCTGATTCAAGTGTTTCTTGCATGTGACTGGACAAATTGTTGCTCCTGGATATTTTGCTATGATCATACTTCTAAGACTTCTTATTAGAGAAATTATAATTTTGTTCCTACCTTTCGAGCTCAAATGTCTAGTATTGAACTGATTTCTTTGCAATATCCATCTCATGAAGACTTCTCTTAAGTTCCTATAATTTTCCATAATTTTTCCTTTCACTATTTTGCAAATCCACATCTGAGCCTGCATCCCTAAGCTTAACCTAGCTATCCATCAGGTATGTATTATTGTTAAAGACTTTCGAGAGTCTAATATGAGTCTCATCAGATAAATCCTTATAGAACTGCTTATCTTTGAGCAAGTCCTATCCATACTTGCTGAGTTCCTTTTCTAACTCCACTTTTTATATGGATATCCTATTTAGGCCATCTTTATTTATCATGTAATTTTAAGAAATATCGTGCACAGCATAGGTTCTGTTTAGATTAAATGGATTCACATCATGAGATTTTGTAGTTTGCAAAGTAGATATATCAAATGATCTATTTTGACTCTGTCTGTGCTTCAATATTGGAATATGAGAGACCTTAACACAAAATTAATCTTAAGGTATTTGGCTTAAATTATGTACTGGTGTCCCATCAATGAGAAATAAATGTTTAAGATCGTTCTTTTAATTGAACTATGTTGTACATTCCTGTAAAAACTGCTAGTGATGTTTTTCAAGAATTTCTTAGGGCTAATTTTCTGAGTAGACAGGTATCTATATAAACTATTTCGGAATGTTACTTGAATTTGCTGGCAAATCAAGTAGAACTTAAATTTACCTGAAACCATTTTAATTCTATCTTTTATTTACCATTAAATCCTAATTTTAATGATTGTTATCAGAATTATCAAATGTCGATTGAATTTCTCTAATTGAATTTTTATAGGTTTTTAAGTTATTAGCTCCAAAAGGACCACCAAGCGACATGCGCATGTAATTCGAAAGTTAGCTTGATTTATTTTATCTTTAGGAGTTTAGTTTATAATCTTAAAATGAGGGTTAAGGAAGGATTTATTATTTTTTTAGCAGCTCTAATTCCAAATCTTATTAATTTTAAATCACTTGATTTTAAATTTACTCCTATTATATTGATTGATTTTAGTTCTATTACAAATATTGGAACTGCTATTGCTCTTGTATTGTATTGGGGTTATTCTCCAAACTGTTTGAAATCTTGACTATGTTTATATTTTAGGTTTGCTTTCTTATTCTTCTTTAATCATATGAAATGAGTTTACTTAGCTGCCGATCCTTTAAACTAAGGAGGATATTATCACTTTAGATAATGACATTCTGACCGATATTCTAGTTTCTAGAGCCTAAAAAAGCCCATCTTTGCATTTGATTAGTCGGAGAACCAAATTAATTCACATCTGGAGATAATTTCAGCTCTCCTAGCTGATTGTATTAATATCTTGAAAATGGCTATAACTTCTTCTATTGAAGAACTAGATAATTTTCCCCTGACCCTTCTTTCATTGAACTAGAGATTTAGAAATTTGCATATTTAGTCTGAGAATAGTCTGATCTTGATTAAGTGCTAATGACCTGATTGCTCATTTAATATCCTGTAGCATCATGACTTTGAATTCTGTATTTCCTAGGATTGTTTAAATTGCTAGATGTCAAAGGCTTTTAAATATTTAGCTATCTTCTCTTTCTTTAATTCTAGGGCATTTATTGTATATTTCTTGATATAACCTAGTTCTCAAAAACATCCATCCTTCTTCAATAGAATTTAACTAAAAATTTATTTATTTCTTTACATTTGATTAGTATAAAGTTTAATGGGGTTTTGGGGTTTTGGGGTTTTG